GTCAGCCGATGTAGAGCAGTATGGTACTAGTCGAACCGTAAGTAGCAGACATGTTGTGACAGCTGTATGTTGACAGTTTTACAGAGATCGTGGACCAATTGAAGAAAACTAACCATCAATGTGGGACAGTTTACAGCAGTCTTTTGGGACCCATGAAGGAAGCATACCGGAATCAATCGGGACAGTTCTACAAGTCTTGTCGAACCCATGAAGAGCTTAACCGGAATCAATGTCGGGACAGTTACAGAGTCTTGTCGGACCCCTAAAGTGCACCCTCAAAAGGTGTGCCCAATCTGTCAAAAATAAGGCGTGCATCAAAAGGCGTACCCAAATCCATAAAAAGGCATGGCATCAAAAGGCTTGTGCCCCAAATCCATCAAAAGGCGTGCCCTAAAAAGGCGTGCCCATCCATAAAAAAGAGTGACCGGACATGATGGCGAGCGCGGACACCTTGACTGCGCGCCCGTTTTGTCTCTGGCGCGTTTCAAGTGGCGCGCGATGCGCGTGGCTGCTCTGGCTATGTACCGCGACGGAGGCTGAGGCTGAGGCAGAACAAAACTAGTTGAAAACTTCCCTCGTTCTCTGAGAGCTGTTCTCTAAGAGCTGTAAACCCTTGAAACAAACTATTAACATCTGAAACACTCGTGTGTAACAACTGTGCCCAGAAAATGGCTTCTTCTTCCCGTGTCAGCTACCATGAATAATGGACCTCTTCATCCGTGGATTCTACTCACTCTCTTTCCCGACTCATGAGTCAACAAGTAGAAACTGGTGCGGGGTGGCCGTGACCTCAACCAAACACCTCTGTTTTTGCTCCCGTTGAACTTTCCGATTAGCGGTCGGTGGAACAAAAAATAGGCCAGTTCAAATGAATATTTGAAGCAATCAAATATACATTGAATCATCGTTGGAGACATCGACGACGGCGGGTCACAAACTTGTCGGCACCGGCTGCAGAGACGGACAAATGAGTGCAGCCATTAAAACGCCCAACTGGCTTTGCCAACGCATTGTAAGGCATGCGCGCAGAGCAGAGATATCGTGTGCTGAAAGCGAAAATAAGGGTGAAGCGGAAGGCACTGATGTGTTCGATTTCGGAGGGCATCATATGCTGCCGTTAGAGAGTATGAAGGAGAAGTATACAGTATGGGGAGTGAGTGCTCGGCGGCGTGGAAAAACACGGAAGGCAGCACGTCAAGGCCGCCGGGACGAGGCAAAAAAGAAAAACCGCGAAGGCAGAGTAGAGAAGAAGTGAGGTCGATGTGTGTGGGCCGCCTGCCAGAAGAAAAAGGAAAACAATCTTCTTTTTTTTTGTTTTTTTTTGGTTTTTTTTTTTTGTTGTTGTAGAAATTGTGATCAGGTATGTTAATTCCCCTGGCATGAATAAAACGAAGTGTGTGTTTTTGTATCTGTTAATGAATTTTTTTTTTTTTTTTTTTTTTTTTTTTTTTTTTTTTACCCAGAGAAAAATAAAGAATAAAAAAAAAAATTTAAAAAAAATTAAATGTGAAAGAAAAATAAAAAAAACAAAAGAAAGAAATTTAATCAATATCGTTTAGACACCATAATATAATAATTAATTAATAAAATAATAATATGTTAAAAAGTGGGGCGGTTGGAAAGGAAAAATATATTAAGCTAAAGTGATCTTGGCGGTTAGGAAAATTATGATTCGTATGGTTTTGAGTGGAGGATATTTCTAGAATAAAAGGTTATATTATACTATTTCTCTCTCAGTTCCGCCAAAGCTGTCCGAGCACTTTCTTTTATTTTCTATTAACTAAGCGTTGGGTCCTCATCCATTTATGCAAACCCTTGGAACATTCTTCTGCGGAGGAGTGCAAAAGGTGGAGACGACTGAGTCAAAGCATGAGAAGAAGAGAGGAAGCATACACATACAACAACCGAAGACGGAAGACACAGGAGCACAAGGAGCCCCATCGTCAAGCTCCAAGAAGTCGCCATCTCCACCGGCGAAGAAAATGGGGACGTCTCCTCGATCTGAAAGCGAGTTTCGGGAATCTTGTGTTCAAAGGAGACAGGACCCAAATCTGGTGGTGACCCATGGATTGTTTCATCCATGTGTTGAGGAGGCTCATACTCCTCCTCTCCTGACCGTCCGCTAAGTGGAAGTTCTGACGGTAGCTGCACTTGCCCTTCTTCTCTTTCCTTTCTTGGAAATCGAATTCCAACAAAGCGCTTGGCAAAGCACTTACGGGCGCTCTGGACCGTTTCTCAGAGGGGAGTTAGAAGTGGTGTCGCAGTTAGCACAGCGGCGAGCAAGGAGGGGATCGCCGCCACCGCCGGGAGTTAGTCGTATTGCTTCACGGCCGGGCCTCTTGTGAGTTTGGCGGCGGGAGAAGCTGTGTGCTTGGATTGTTGTAAAATATCCCAACAAAAGTTGGACATGCGAGAGCCAGAGCGACGGTCATGGTGGACTCGCTTTTCAGTCTCGTCGTTGTTGGTGAGTCTAGTGGATGGAGTTCCAAGTGAGAGAGTGCAATCCACAGAAGAACAAGAAGAAGAGGAGGATGGTGTGAATAAATACATTTCAGCTTCATCAAAGGGCCTGTGGTGGTTGAATAGCATTGAGAAGGAATTGCTTTGACTGTGAAACACACCACCACATGTACATGAACCCACCAGGTTACAATGTGAACTACTGCACCTATACATCTTCTCACTCTCTCTCTCTCTATATATATATATTTGTGTGTGTGTGTGTGTGTGTGTGGCAATGTTGGTGTGTTTCAGTGAGGTCCCGAGAGGGAGAGGGAGGTTTGAATTGGTTGAGACCCAGCGGGCGGTCAAGGCAAGGTTGCCACCCGCCGGAAGGCGAAGAACACCAAGATCTTTAACCTATTGCTTTGATACCATGTAAAAAATGATGTATTATTGATTGATTTATTGATTTCTATTACAATGATTCATGATTCCTATATATAGAAGAGGGTGAGTGTGTAGTACGTGAGGAGTAGGTGAGGATAGTGTGTAGTAGGTGAGGAGTAGGTGGAGAGTAGGTGAAGTAGGTGAGTATGTAGTAGGTGGTAGTGGTAGGTGTGTAGTAGGTGGATTTTAACATTATAGTGCCCTTGTCAGACACTCGACACTTGAGTCAATATTTAATCTCACAGATACAAGAAAGTTAATATCATTGGCCTTTTTGTTTCTTGGGCAGTACCAAATACAAGTATGAATGACTGACTACACAGTGAATTATTCATAGTAGAGAATAAATTTCACCAAATATCATCAAAAATCATTATAAATAGATCCATGATGGCAAATAGTTGACATGCAACTTCAGGTCAGAATATGTGAATTTGCTAGAGATAAACAGAAGTCACAACTATTATACATTCCTGATACACGATGGCAAATATTTGTGTCATTTTGGGGGCCAATTGACATGCAACTTGATACCATTGTAGTAGCCATAGGCATATGCTATTTTCTATGTTTTTAAATTTCACTTTGAGCCCCCATTTAGTAATCAGTTATAAGTTGAGTTTGGTTTGAAAATTCACAAAGTGATTAATTTCTTCCTTGAGAGGTTTTTAGGTTCATTTTTATCTAAGCCATCTAGCCTCTATATGGTTCAGTGGTTCACCGTGCTTTCCATTCTGCAGATTTTGAGTGTGATAAACAACCTGAGGCAAGCTTGCTTTGGTAGACTCTGACCATTCTTGTTCACTGTTAGGGGGAACAAGGAAGATCGATTGACCCCTGAATTGATTATGTTCTTATTCTTAATGCTGTTTAGTGGACTACATATCACTTTTCAGATGTGAACCTGTACATTGGAGACAAAAAATTAAAAATAGGTTCCAAATAAAATGTTCTTGTTTCTGGAGGGATGTTGGTTTTGAATCCTTGAAAGTTTGGAGGATATTCTGAGATTCTTCTGATTCCTTCATCAGCAATTATGTGTATTTGTATAGTTATTCATATGTTTCATGTGTGGCCATTTTAAGAATATGCTCTGTATCCAAAGTGCAGGTTGCCTCTTTCTTGTATCACCAAGAGAAAATGAATGTTGTCGTTGAACCTGATGTACATGACATATTTGCGAGAATCCCAGGGTTTGGGTTCGTTCAGACCTTCTATAGTCAAGATACGAGGTATGGGAAATCATGGATTTAAAATTGTAAATTTGTTTGTTTATACATAAAAGACTTTACCTGATGTCCTTAACACAGTCATCTTCATGAGAGGGTTGACTTGGTGGCATGCTTGGGAGGGGATGGGGTTATACTGCATGCATCCAACTTATTCAGAGGTGCTGTTCCCCCTGTTGTATCATTTAATCTTGGATCCCTTGGATTTCTCACTTCCCATAAGGTATGCTGCGCAACCAGGCTTTTTAGATTTAATTTTTACCTCAAAATGAATGATTTTTCTTTTCACTCTCATCTTTCTTTTGGTACAGTTTGAAGATTATCGGCAGGACTTAAGACATGTTATCCGCGGGAACAACACACTTGATGGTGTTTATATAACTCTCCGAATGCGTCTCCGCTGTGAAATTTTTCGAAATGGTGAAGCTATGCCTGGGAAAGTATTTGATGTTCTCAATGAAGTTGTGGTTGATCGCGGATCTAATCCATATATTTCTAAAATTGAATGTTATGATCATGATTGCCTTATAACCAGGGTATGATCAAGGAAATCATTTCTTTCCATGATCTTTTGGAATAATCTTCAGTCGAAGTCTTACCTTTCAGAAAGGGAACTTGTGGTAGCACTATTTATGACAAATTCAATCTTTTCTAACCCAAAGCTGCACCAACCATTAATGCTACTTTTTTTTTCTAATCTATAAATAGAAATAGCTTGACAATTTCTCTTATTTCAATATTTGTACTAATTTATCTTGTAGGTGCAAGGTGATGGAGTCATAGTTGCCACCCCTACTGGAAGTACAGCTTACTCTACTGCTGCAGGAGGTTCCATGGTAAGACTTCTTTGTTGAGTTTTAGACTCATTTTATTTAGGTTGTGTGTGGATCATAGATTTGGGTAGGGATTTGGAAAGAGAAAGAAGAAGACGAGGGAAATGGAGAAAAAAATTAGCTTATATTTCATTCACATTTCCCTTGCCTTTTCTTTCCCTTTCAAATTCTTATCTAAATCTATGATCCAAACACGGCCTTAAAGTACTTGTAGTGTTTGTTCCTCATGATTTTGAACATCATGAGTCAGCTTCCTTAGGTGAGCACTGAGACATAGTACAATTTCTTCACCTTTTCTTTTTCTTTATTCATTTTGTGGAACTTTTGGGAGATTTATATGCTCCAGTGGACACACTCGGGTCTTTTTTGTACATATCCTATGTACAAGGGCCGTGATTTCGTGGTGCCCTTCTCATACTAAAAGATTTACTTATGAAAAAGGGACATGAAGGAGCTGTCAAATGAATCCCCGAAAAGAATTGTTCTCCTTTGGTTTGTTTGGCATAGATTGGGTATTCCCCAAAAAGGGTAAGTGGGAGAATGAAAGGCTAATGAAGGGCTCTGGGGAAGCTTGCTGCTGGAAATTTGTGTTAATGCATATAATAAGATAGTGGCATGTATATAATATGATAGTGGTAGATAGTGGTAATATATAATATGTAAGTGGCATATAGTGGGTTATAATGATGTTT